GTGCCCTAATTAGGTGTTCAAAATTATTTCTTTTTTGAGATGGAGTCTCACTCTTATCACCCAGGCTGGCGTGCAGTGGTACAATCTTGGCTCACTGCAACTTCCGCCTCCCAGGTTCAAGCAATTCTCCTGCCTCAGCCTCCTGTGTAGCTGGGATTACAGGCGCCCACCACCATGCGCAGCTAATTTTTGTATTTTTAGTAGAGACGAGGTTTCACCATGTTGGACAGGCTGGGCTTGAACTCATGACCTCAGGTGATCCGCCTTCCTCAGCCTGCCAAAGTGCTGTGATGACAAGCATGAGCCACCGCTCCCAGCTTCAAAAATTTTTTTTGCTGAATTTAGTCTGATTCTGATTGCAATGGAATATGAAAATAAATAAAATGTAAAAGCTATTGGAACCTCCCAAATACTTTAAGCTTTGAGAGAAATGTGGCTGTGGTCTGAGTCCATGTAGCAGAGCAGAAACCAGATTTCTCCCCTCTCAATCACTGATGTTTGTAATAGATGGCCTCCTTTATTGTCCTGTACCTAACTCAGACCAGATGGTGCCCTGAATTGAACTGACCCCACGACAGTTACACCTGCAGGGTGTGATGTTAAATATACCTTTCCTGAAGGAAAAAGACCACCTTAACTACTCAGATCGTTGTAACTATGCATAAACCTCACTGAATACAAACTTCTACGCTTTGGAACACTGACTTCCATCCTTTATAAGACAGACACGTTCTTATATTCTGTGCTTCCCGGGTAGGCCATCCTCAACCTTTGTGCTTGAATAAACTCTCTTTAAACTAGATTCTGACCTTTTACATTATTTTACATTGACAGGGAACATGTGACAAAGGCTTTATGTGTTTAAAGAGTCATTTTGCTCTGTGCAGATTGCAAGGTGTAAGAAAAGAGGTATGGAAGGCAGTATGTTGCAGTAGCCCAGGCAAGACAGGGCTATGTTCTGTCCTGGGAGAACAGAGACATTCCTAACCACTCTAAAGTAACTGTGTCCAGCACCCTTTTTGTTTCTTAGTATTTTATTTCTTTTGCTTCCTTGTTAAAGTTTGTTCCTCCAACTAGAATATGAGCTTCAGGAGGTGTCTGGCTTGTTCACTACTGATTTCTGACATTTAGTATAGTAGGTACTCAATAAATATTTGCTGAATGACTTAAGTTGGATAGTGTCAGTGAAGATAGGAAGATATAGATGAACTTTAGAGATTTAGGATGGAAAGCTGCGATTTCATTCAGATTTAGGATAGGACTGCGAGGATGGATTGGTGACTGGGGTCCAGGACACTTGGAGTTGCCAGCTTAGTTACTGGAGAGCCCCTAAAAAGTTTTTTTTTTTAAGGGAATGGGAAGTGTTCCTTGAGCACTCTGAATCTTGTCATAACATGGGTTATTTGTACTATAGTTATTTGGGTCAAATTTTCTTTCCTGCTTGTCTGTGAGTTCCATGAGGACAGAGCTGGAGTATTTTCATCTTTTTATCTAATCCGAGGCCCAACTCAAATGTGTCATGACCAGTAACTTATATTTTCTTTTTGGCCTTATGAAAAGGGTGACATGGTTTAGGAAGGTATTATGATTCTCTTTTACATGTGAGCAAATTGAGGCTCAGAAAGGTTGGTAAACCTGTGCAAGATGCCCCAATAAGGAAACAGTGACAGTAGAATTCTGACAGACTGAACACTTGGCAGTGTTGGGAAGGATGGAGCTTCAAGTCTACTTTAGATCTGTGGCTCACACTTTGAAAAAACACAACCAAATAAGGCATTTTTTTTTTTTTTTTTTTTTTTTAAGATGGAGTCTTGCTATCGCCCAAGCTGGAGTGCAATGGCGTGATCTCAGCTCTCTGCAACCTCCGCCTTCTGGGTTCAAGTGATTCTCCTCCCTCAGCCTCCTGAGTAGCTGGGACTACAGGCACATGCCATTGTGCCCAGCTAATTTTTGTATTTTTGGTAGAGATGGGGTTTTGCCATGTTGACCAGGCTGGGCTTAAACTCCCGACCTCAAGTGATCCACCTGCTTCGGCCTCCCAAATTGCTGGGATTACAGTAAGCCACCATACCTGGCCTAAACAAGGCATTTTAATAACCAAGAACAAATGGCATCTGTGCCTTAGCCATTTTGCTTACATTTCTCCTAGCTGCCTAACATTCATTAGGTTGCTGCTTGCATCCATGCATTCACTCATCTGTTTATTAAGTGCTAGTGTGCTTCTGAATGTTGCAGTACAAGGGGAGGGAGATATATGGATGACATAGAGCTTTAAAATTAAGAATAAGGCTCTAGGGTCAGACTTCTTATATTTACATGCTGGTGGAGCCAGCATAAGAACTATGTGAGCCTGGGCAAGTTACTTGACCTCTCTGAGCTTCCATTTCCTGAACTGTGAAAACTAGGATAATACAGCTTATCTCAGGGTTTTAGTGAAAACTAAAGGGATAGTACCTGGAAAAGTGGTTAGTTAGCACTAGGACTGGCTACCTAATTTAGAAGGCAAGAGGAAAAGCAGAACCCCTTGTTCAAATATTATGAAGAAGGCAGCAGTAGAGCATTAAACCAAGAACAGGGCCCTTCTGAGCATGGGGCCCTGTGTGACTGCACAGGTTGCATGCCTGTGAAGCTGGCCATGGCTGACACATGGTGAGTGCTTGATAAATGTTAATTATTAGTCACCCCCAGCCACTCCTCTCAGAGTTCAAGATCTGTTGGTGAGAAAAGACAACCCCAAAATAACTGCATAAGAAAGAATATGACAGACACTGAATACATAGTTGGAGAGTTAGGTGACATTCCAGGATCCACATTTTTAAAAAAGAACACTGAAAATCTGGAGTATGTGAGCCCCTTTAGCTGTGAAAACACAGGTGGAATTTGGATGAAAACTCTCAGTTATGTATTGGTTACCTTTTAGCTTTTGGTGGCTGTAATTACCATGTAAGAGTAGTTTCTTCCTCAGTAGAAAGAACGCAGGCTTGTGAGTCAGACATTTCCTATATAGCTAATAATAAGAGCCACTTTTTTTTTTTTTTTTTTTT